GGGGGGTATACACAGCTGCAACAAACAGCCACATGGGATGCAGAGGTGCACCACCTGGTTGTAGAAGTAGAGCCCTCTGAACTGAAAGCTGCAGCAACCATCTGAACAGCGCAGTGTTAATTTGGCAGCCTGCTGCAAACTAAGAGGGTTGCAAACCACCCAAGTATGAACAAACTGGTTTCCACTTTATGAAACCATTGCCCTGAAATCGTGAGCACTTAAATGCATTTAACTTTAAGCATACCAGTGTTCCCGTACTGAAGCCAACAAGACTTCTCACTTATTTAATTTGAAATGAACAAAAGCATTTCCATGTTTGTGCCTAAAACCCTGACAATTATTTCTGTGTTGGAAACAAAAGGAGCAGCAGGAGATTTCCAAATTCTTCATAAGGAAGTTGTGCATTTTTTTCTGGGCACTTTAGGTTTAGAATTCACACTTGCCTGACAAAAAAACGGCAACAAAACCATGGAACAACCCAGAAGAAGTCCTTCAGTGCAAAAGGGCTATGGGAATCTCCTGCTGTTACCTGTATCTTCCTCTGTACTTATGATCTTCCTTCCTTGCCACATACCATCACCGTTGTTGAAATGTCCATTGAAATGAATGAAAACACCCTGGTGTTACATGGAGATCATTTAGTAAAACCAGTCTACACTTCTGCTACATTGAAGTGCAGGGATATTTCTCTACTGGGCTCTTTGTGGGAAAGCAGTGTAGCAGAATCTGCGCTTATCACAGCACTTGTCTCTTCCATGAGCATACTAACCAAGCAGAAGTAAAAGTTACTGTACAAAGGTATTCAAACAATGTCTAAAACACTGCCATTAAAGTATGCATAATTATTTTTCAAATATTCCTATCAGAGTTGTGACTACTATTACAAGTCTCTTGATTGTAAAACCAAACCTAAGAGCTCCCTCATCAGCTATCTGCACAGAGGTCACATGGAATCAGTGTCTGATGTAGCCTCTTCTTGAAAATGATCTATCCCCCTATATTCATTCATAGGACCACACACATTAATGTTCAGAACCTTTGTGAACCACTTAAAATGAAAGCTGCTGCCCTATGTTCACAGGAAACAGACTGACAGCTTAATCAACACAGTGGTGGGAAATCATCAAAACAAATACAAAAAAGGGCAAGGTAGACATAAAGCTACTCCATATTATATAAAGGCTGAATTTTGCCTGCTTTTCTTTATTCTAAGTGTTAGCAATGCTCTCCCACATGCAGAGCCGTCACTAGGGGCATGCGAGGCCTGGGGCATATCAGCCTGTGTGGGGCCCAGAGTGGGGGGGAGGGGGAGGTGGTGACTGGCCAGAGCCAGCAGTGCTCAGGGGCAGCAAAGCTGGTGGCGTTTGGCAGTGGTGGTGCATGGTGGCCACGGCAGGGCCTATGTGGCACTGACCATTGGGCCCTCCAAAGCACGGGGCCCAGAGCAGTCGCCTTGATTCACACCCCTCAGGGATGGCCCTGCCCACGTGGATAGCTGAGGTGCTAAACATTTGAGCATGGTAATATCAACTGCAAGCAATGTTAACATGGTAGAAAAAAAAGAATGAACTTGTGTGTGCACTATTTGTCAGAGAACTTATCACCTAAGTATTTTAGCTGCCGCCAATTAGCAATTTATTCCTGTGACTCAGCCTTCAGTGAGTAACCTAATAATACTGCACAGTAGCATGCTGGGCACAAACTGTGCTAATACACTACTGCACGGTAGTATTAGGCTACTGTGCAGTAAGTGTCATTGAAAAACTGTGCCTTGGTGCTACTGTAGTTACTGCGCATTTAGTTAGTAATTTATTAAGCAAGTACTAAACTAAATGCACAGTAACTAGCAGTTAACAAGCCCCATGTGTGTACTTCGGAAGACTGGAAGGCTCTTTCTGGAAAAGCAGCAGAACTGTCTCCCTCTCTGTTGGGACCTATCAGACTCAGAGCTCACGGACTAGCAGAATGCCATGCGAGTTTAGTCTTTTTCATCAAGTATCTGGGCTGTGAATGAGGCAGTACAAGGCAGCAAGCTACCCATGTCATGCAGTGCAAAAGGATTGACTCACTGGGATACTACATTTAACCTATGCAATGTGTCCAGATATTATGGCAAGTACATTTTAGAATATATAATTATACAAGTGATAGATGTCGGTCTCTCTCCTCACACCAATCAGTCCCATGTAGCCTATCTAGTTCAAAAGGTGGCTAATAAATGCATTTATAAAATATTCTAAAATAAGGAGTATATAAAAATGAATGCCTGTAGCAACTCTTTCAGTCTTCCTCTCTCTATTTCAAATTTATATTTGCTCCTCAAATGTTTCCAAATTATAGCATTATTTCCCTGAATATCTTGGTATCAGCATCAGCATGATGAATATCCACACAGTAATATCACTTAGTGCATCTATATAAGGTATAGAAATGTCTTCTACCATAGAGTTTACTCAATATTCACAGCGTTTAACAGGATACAATACCAAGCATTGTAAAAGTGAAGTGTTACATACTTACTGTGTGTTTTATTGCATAACATTTATAATGAATAGTCACAAGATGCTTTCTGTCTACAAGTCTGTTCAGCCAATTGTGAAAGAGGAAGCGAGGAAGCAGCCAAGGGATTAAGTGATACATATATCAACAAGCAAACCCCGCATTTTCAATGTGTAGGCTTATTAGGTTTGTATGTTAGTGACCAATATTCCACATTTTTGCATATATATGCAAAGCAACACATCACTAGCTCTGCAAAAAATAATGCTGTAACTCAGAGCTGCCCAACTGGAGGCCTGTAGACTGCTGTGGCCCATGACGGACTAACATGCGGCCTTCAGGCTCCCTCCCAGCTGCCCCTGGCACCCTTTGCTTCCTTCCTGCCGTGGCAACTGGGTTCTTCAGGCTCCCTCTCCCTCCTCTGGCTTTTACTACCTGCCTTCACTCCTGTGGACAAGTTGGTACAGCTGGCAGGGCGGGGTGCCCATGCTGTGCATATAAGAAAGGCAGGAGCTGGACTGCCCACAATGCAGGTGGATGTGTTGTTGGGAGGGGAGGGGGTGCATGTGACAGAGGTGAGCTGGGCTGCCTGTGCTGCAGGGGGAGGCGGAGGAGGAGGAGAGTCAGGCTGCCCACATGGCTGTTGGGGAGCAGATAATTGGGCTGTGGGGGAGGCGGAAGGCTAGCTACACTGTACATGGAGTTAGGGGCAAGAGGGGCATACTAGACTGCCTGTGGAGCCTGGGACAGACCATAGGGTGCTGCCCATGAGATGAACGGTCCTAAGTCTGCAGCTCTTGCCTTGTAAATTACGGCACCTGGAAATGTGGCCCATGAAGCATACAGCCCCTGGCTGCCTGGAAGTTGAACAGCCCTGGTGTAACTTGTGTTTCAGCCTTTGGAACACAGGAGAAAAGCAAGCAATGTGTATTATTCACAAGAAACTTGCCTAAAAACATAGTAGTAGCATTATAAATTCGGATTCAAAATTAAGATTCCCAACAACTTATAATAGGCAAAGGTGATTACTGCACCCAGTTGGAGTCAGTGGGCTTTCTCCCAAACTGCACTGTAAATTGCAGCATCCTGAACTTAAGCAGGAGTATTTGGCTGTTCTGTCAAACAAACTTCAAAGAAACTTCATAACATACATGAATTTAAGAAACAAATAGGAGGAGGAAATATCATCCTAGCTTCCTGGAATGTTATTGGCTGTATATCATTTTCTTTCTCCTTTTTTAACTTTTAAAATCCTATGAATGATGAGCTACACTTTACAGATAAAGTTCTGTCATAACAGCGTTCCTGTAACTTCTAAAAGCTGAGCTCCACCCTGCATTCAAACAGAACTAATTGCACTTTCCTTCACCCTCATAAGTAGTACTAATCCACACCTATTTCTCCTCACCCTGGCTGGTCTTCCATGTGACCCCTTGAGGAGGGCATGCTTCATACTTTGGGGTGTTCTGCTTTTAGATAATGAGGCCTCAGTTCACCCTTTCTACAACTTGGTTCACATTATAAACCTAGATGAATGACTTGCTTTTCATTTGGCCACCTCTATTCTTTTCAGCAAGCTCCTAATGAATGTGGTTGCCCTTTCATGGAGCAGGGCAGCAGATATGAAACTAGCCTTGTTGCACTAAAGGCAAAGCTGGCTGACTTCTGACAAAAAAACCCCCATTTCTGCAAAGCTCACAAACCCTTTCTTCTCCACTTATGCAATGCTTAACTGTGGAATACCTTAGCTATTTCTGTGTTTTCTGCTACCATGTAAGTGAAGCTGATGTTCACCAGATCTGTGCCACTACAGACACACACTGTCCGCCCTTCCAGCTCATTTTCTGCTTTTCCAACAGCCTCGAGAGCAGCAAGTATTTTGGGATCCTGTTAAACAGAACAAATGACTTGTCAGATTTGTAGTGCTTTGTGACTTAATGTAAAAGTGCATTTCAGGTTCACATACATTGAAACTGTAAACATTTCCCAGTCCTCTCAGATACATACTGTCACTTAGAATATATGTGCATGAACTGAAAAAAAAATCTAACTTAATAATCACTGCATGTCCCTGAATCATAAAAGCTCAGAGAGAAATGCAGTCCCTTAAAGACATTTCAGAAAATTACACAAATTACATTTATGGCAAGGGAAAATGGATCACTGAGGGGACTGGAAATAGATGGATACTTTTAACACCTGTCCAGGTGGATTATTTTAATTTATCCCAGAGAATAATGACCCCAAACTATTATTTGTGCGGAATAAGTTGGTAATTTTTGTCCATTTCATATTGACACATCTAGCGTTTGGTGATTTTGATGTTAATTTGAAACATCCATAGATACTACCTACATGAAGCCACAGGTAATGTTTGAGGTATAGGGGTTGGGTATCATGAGGAAGTCTGCTCTGGAACTGCATATACTCTGGTTTATTGAAAGAGGATTTCAGTCCAACCTTACTAACACAATCTATGTTTAAAGGGGAATAATATATAACATTTTTAACTGGAACTGTAGTCTAATTGGTGCTGTTGTATTTAATGCCATTAATAAGAGATGCAGCTTTACTGGGCAGCTACATAGAAAATCTCTTAAGGAGAAGCAGTGAAGGAGTTGGGCCCAATTTTGGCCAAAAAAAAGTTCCCTAAATTCTAGACACATTTTTAAAAAGATAAAATGATTAGAAAATATTTTGAAAGCTACTGCTTGGGTCAAGCCCTCTGGTAGTTCCCTGTGCTGACTGCCTTTGAAACTGTGATTCATAAACACTAGTCCCAGCACCGAGCTATAATTGATCACCCTAAAGAGTAAAACAAGAAAGCAAACAAATCCTTTAAAATTACATATCAAGGAAATGCAAAGGAATGGAAATATTTAAATGGACAAGGACATAATTTGACTAGAACAAGTTTACCAGGCTTCTAAAACAGCATTACAATAGACGTTTAAAAATAATTAAAAACCCCTTGAGGGGACCCATTTAACATATATTATCTAGATATGACAGCATCTAGAAAGGATGGTAGAGCACTAAAATGGCATTACCAGACTACAATATTTGACACTATAGCTTAAAGCTAAAACTTTTATACTCTGAATTCACATGGGAAGCTGCCCTGGCAGAATTCTGTAGCAAGATGAACTGCATTTCCACACTTCACATTCAGCTTGGACACTTTTTGTTTAAAAAAAACAACTGTATAAACTAATTACCTTTGGTATGGCTCCAAAACGAACACTGTTGATCAGGGAGCATTCTAATACCTGTCCTTCCTGGAGTGGCAAGAAACAATGTGTGAGTTCAAGGGTCTGTTGAAACACAGCACGGAAGCAAACAGGAAGGGAAGCAAATATAAACAACACGTCTTCCATGAAATCACAGCTAATTAATACCAAAGTATATTTTCTTTTCACATCTGTTAATACCCTGTTAGGAAGCTGGCTGATGTTAATTCCGAAAGTGAAGGAGTCAAGCTATCTTTCGACAGTTACAAAGATGCATGTAATTTTAGTGATTAAAAATTAGCCAGGAAATAAGCTAAGTGTAATAATACAGGAAGATAGGGATGTTCCCGATATCCCTGTACTCTACCTTTCCTTCGCTTTTCCACCTCAGGAAAAAGCCAAATTCATCCACTTGAAAGAGGCAGTTTGATTCAAAGACGAAGGACTCCTATTTTAAAGGAAAGATAACAACTATTATAGTAATATTGCCAAAAGTAAAGATGTGTTACAATTTTCCCCACCTGCCTTCAGAACATGTTTGCAGTCCTGCCAAGCCCAACCATTTCTCACAAAAATCACGATAGCCCCACCACACCACTCCCCTGCCAAATGAGTTTGATTAAAAAATACAAAGAATAATCAATCTGGGGATCTCTTCATTTGTCTTCTGTTAACTGATGTGTCAGGATGCAATCAAGTTCATATTTTCCTGCAGCCATAAAGAGTAGAAACTTCTCTTTAAATGGAAGGCTAAGAGTCTTGATGGATCACACACCAAAAATACAACATATTTTGTGAAAGGCAACAAAATCATGGGAATAGGCAACACTGAATTTGTTGCCCCAGTCACACTGTACAACTACATTTGGAATGGGAACACCCTCACAGAAATACACATAGGAAATCACCCCAAAGCATTTTGCACATAGAGCACTAGGCCAGCACAAATACTGGGAGACTGACAGGTACTGCAACAGGGAAGGACTGGTTAGCCAGAGCCAGGGGAGCAGGCAAAGAATCAGATGAACAACTCCAAGAACAAACGAAGAAATCCCTTCTCTGCCCAAATTACTAACCTCCAAAACTAAACTAAAAGGTAAACATAGTGCTATGTAGTGACAGTCATTTTTAAAGGGTGAAAAATAGCTTTCCAGAGATTATTTTATGAAAAAAGATTTTTTTCAAACAGCCAACAACCATGACCTGCTTTATGCTCTTGGATCAGTCACTCAGGGGCAGATCCAGGTAGGGGGTTGGTGGTACAGTCACACTACACTTTCATTCCTGCTCCTCTCAAAGTTTAGAAGAAATTGCTCAGCAGGAACAGCTGAATTTCTATTCATCTGGAGCTGAGGGAGTCACTGAGCTGGAAGGTGTGTTCTGGGTTTGAGTCTGGTTCTCAGGACCATTTCTGACTTTTATCCAATAACTGATGCATGTGAAATGTAGATACAGGCTTGAGAGTAGGGACCAGAACCCCAGGCTCCCTCCCTCTCTCAGGTTAGTGATCTAGCTATTAATTTAAAGAGTCCCACTCATCCTTGTATGCTCTTTGGCTCAGCCCAAAATAGTTGATGGCCTGGTACTTAAGGAACTTTCCAGGGTAAAGAGAAATGGGGGTTTGAATCCCTTCAGGCTGAGAGGGCTCCCAGGTTATATGCTTTAACCATAAGGCTAATGTATAAAGTGGGAGAGTGACTGCACCAACAGCAACCTCCCCTCCTGCAGCTCCCATGCTTTAAATGAAAATAACTTCATCTTACTCTTTATAAAGAAAGGGCTCTCCTACATTCAGGAAAGGATGCTGGCCTATGCATCTCAAGAAGATACAGGCCCATCACAGCAGCTCTGAGGAAAAGGTCTGGATTAAAGACTTTCGCCTATGCTCCTGTTGGCTAGCTCAAGGCAGCTGCACACTGGATGTGTTTATTGGATTGTACCTAAAAGGTAACTCCTTTCTCAGCCTGCTGCTAGTGTTAGATTTCATATGTTTCATAGACATTAGGGCTGGAAGGGACCTCGCAAGATCATCGGGTGCAGCCCCCTGCCCAAAGGGCAGGCATTCAGCAGGAGTCAAATGATCCCAGCAAGATAGGCATCCAAGTGTTTCTTAAACAAATCCAGAGTAGGTACCTGCACCACCTTTGTGGGGAGTCTAGTCCAGGCCCTGGGGACTCGAACAGTAAAGAAGTTTTTCCTTATGTCTAGCTTAACATGGTCTTCCAAGGGTTTGTGACCATTGGACCTAGTCTTCCCATGGGGTGCCCTAGTGAATCGACATTCTCCCAGTTCCCAGTGCACACCTCTTATATACTTACAGGCTGCCAACAAGTCACCCCTGAGCCTGCCCTTTTCCAAGCTGAACAGTCCCATGGCTCTCAGCCTCTCTTCATAAGGAGGCTGTCATTCTGAGGCACCTAACTTTTCCTGTGCACTGACTGGGTAGTTCAGATACCCATTTTAAACTCCATGGGCTTAAGCCCTTTACTAGAGCTAGCCTTTTTTACTTCATCGTTTACTGAAGTAAAACAATCAGTAAAATAATCATGTCCACATCTGGGTCATCTAGTACTCTTTATTAAATATTCTTGAAAGCAAAACCACACACATTCAGATGTATCAGATGAACCCAGTGTAGTAAATCTTTGAAACAGCACTTACCACATGACAAATAAAGCATTTAAGATCCTTCTCTCAAAGGCCAATGTTCAATGGCCATAAGTTTCTTATTAGTTTATCTATTCCAGCACTAAAAACAGAGGATATGAAACTCATCCCTAAATTGACCGGCCTCTGTAATAAAAATACTTTTTGTTCAATTCAAGAGATGAGAGGAAAGTATAATAACCCTGAAGTTATTTATCACAATACTTTTAATTTAGATTTCCAGCCAAATAAAAAAAGGATTAAAATAGACCCCAATAAAACTATTCGCATAGGCAAACTGATGTTGATTATATTAAAAGGCTCTGCATTTTATTTGGTAGCCTGTGTTAAATGAACCACTTTATATTCCTTTAACAGACACAGACTAAAGCGCAACTGAAAGGAGAACCATAGTAATCATATTCAAGATAAAGTAATGTTTGACTGTCTGAAGCAGATAAAACCATTCTTGATCTCAGTGTCTTTGACTATGTTTTAATAATTTTATTTTTCCATCCATCTCACAGGTTCTCAGTCTATATGCATCTGAAACAGCAATTTTAGAAAAAAGGACATAGTGCACTTCATTGGTCCCGATCCTTTACGCTCTATACCATCAGGATTCCCTACAAGGAAGAGCTTTATGTATGTTACAGACAGATTTGTATCTAAATCCTTCTTTTCTCCTACTCAGGGATTATTTTCTAATCACAGGATTAAATCGGCTATTCTAAAATATATTTTAAAGGGGCTTTTTTAATAGCAAGCAAATGTACAAAGTGTGTTGTTATTTCTGTTCTATGTTCCTGTAATTTTTCTGTTAGGAACTGGTATTTGTGCATCATCTTGAGAAAAATATTACGTTTTTATAACACTTATATAATAAAGTAAAAAAAGCAGGGAAAGTGAAATTAAAAGAAGATTGTGAGACTGGCCTCTTACCTCTTCATATCTGTCAAACACAGCTCCATCTTGCATAAAGGAAGGAACAGGCTTCTGCCAGTTAAATTCATATGGTTTTGCCATGGTTATACGAGAAAACCCTGGAATGAAATGCAACAGCAGAGTTCAATTGTTGGTTCTTAAAATTTTGCGGACTGTTAAAGGGAAAAAAAGCTGTGTTTTGCTCTCCTATTCTGTAGAACAAGTGTTTTACAGAAGAAATACAGTGGGTTTGTAATGTAAGAGCTTTCCTTACAAGCATTATTTTACCTCTGACAGTTTTAATTTTAAAAGAAATTACGACTGAAATGTTTTTTGAGAAAAGTGGCTGAACATAACAATTATTTGAAAGACAACTGTAGATTGTATCAGCAATCAGCTTAAATCACTGCTAGAGTTTAAATAAGTACAGATTAATGTTGCCCTGAGTAACCTGCATTAGCACAGCTGGCAATATAAGTAAACATTCATTTTCAGATAGATGCTACAGATCAATCACATACTGGGCAGGAAGAATATTTTGGTCCTCTGAATTTTGCATTTCAGAACTGTTTTCACTTTGTACATAGAACAGAGTATTTTCAGTAATATGTTTAGCACTATTTTTATACATAACTCAAGGTGTATATACCAGAATGGTCAAGATTCATAAAAACCCCTACTTAGCAATAAGGCATAAAATAGAATAAGGAACCAATACTCTGAGTACTTGTACAACTGGACAAGAATAATCATTCATTCAGGATCTAATTTAAATATCAGTCTATAAAGTCTATTTTAATTTAAATTGGAAAAAAACTAAAAAAAATGCAACATGCACACTATACCATTCCTGCACTTGACTGGGCTATACTTATACTAAGCAGTAGATCACTCCCAACAAATCCCATTGTATACAGATTAATACACTATCAAATACTGAATTTAGAGTATCTAATATACAGTTGGGTCCAATTTGTCATCAGCTTTCCTGCTCTGGGAGTTACAGGGTCAGATCCTATTTTACCTATTTAGATATAAGTGGTTAAATGCAATCTTCTGCCACCCTGTTTGAGTCTTTGAATGTGTCTCCTTTTCTAATGTACCTTTATCTTAACCTTAAGACTAAGTCACAAAAAGCAGTGTGGAGAAGGAGGCCCTAACTACCTTTTGCAATAATGATTTTTCAGGAACTTGACATTACTTTTGGTAAGTGTTCATTAAAAAATAAACTGTATTCCAACTGTGTATTTTAATGCTATCCATCTCTTCATCTCCTGCTTTTTGTTAATCATTGATATGTGCATATTAAAACCACAAATCTATAATCCGTGAGACCTTTAGAATAAATTATTTCGGTTCATATACAGACTATTAAAAATACCATTCATTTATCATAGATAACTTAATTGATATTAATTCTCCACCTTTTAAAAAGTTATTTGTGCTGTGTTGAAGCTATATCCACCAATGGCAAGAATTAGAAGCAAAACACTATTTGGAGGATCTTCATAGCTTCTTCTCACAAAGAGAACAGACAGACTGGTTTCATGAGCAAAGTCCAGGACAGGGAGTGAGGAGCAATGCTTTCTACTTGCATGACCTTGGCTTGTCGCAATCTTTGTGGACACTCCATTTGCCACTGCAAAATGCAAATGTTTCCCCTGCCTCATGGGGTTTTAAGAGGTTTTGAGAACCCTTTGGGGAAGTGGTTATAATCGTTCTATATTTACTACTATTTCAAAAGTTAAAAAGTAAAGTGTCCCTCCCATTTCAATTAAAGGGGGATTACCTTTTTTTTCTCCCATGTTCATAGAAAACTGTGGGTTAGAGCACCTTTGTTCAGCAATATGACATGGTCCTTTCTGGTGTAGCTCACAGACCACACACTGTAGCCAAAGATACTTAATGAACCTTGAAAATGCGGCCGAGTTGTTATTTCAGAGTTATAAACAATGAGATTCAGAAAACGGTTTTCTAAACACAGAAGGCTCACTTAATGATAAAGTATAAAACTACAAGTCAACTGGAGTCTTTTATGTATTTAATTGATGTTATGATTTGTAGATTGTTGCCTGGCATAGCAACGAGAGAGAGATTTGTAAAAATAATAATAATAAAAAAAGCCTACATAAAAGGCATCCGATTTGTAGCATAAGGAATACAACAACCGCTATCATCAACCTTGTTGTCATTTTGTCTGGAAGAATAAACAGAACAGATACAAAACAAAAAGAACATTAAGCTGACTCAACATGCCCTCTAGGCCAGGACTGGCAGGGAATGCAATTCTCTACTCTGAAATCCTGCCGTGTTTCTATAAGGCTAACCTGAGAACCATTCACCAGTGCTTTAAAGCTGACCTTAACCCCTGTAATGGTTCATACTAGAGTTTTCAAAT